GAAAATGCCCCACATACACAAGGAGTTGCATTGATGCTGTCCAGAAAAGCACAAAATGCACTTATTGGATGGGAATCTCATGGACCAAGGATCATCAAAGCCTCCTTCAGAACAAAGAGAGAGGGCATTACAATGAACGTCATCCAATGAGATGCGCCTACCAACGACTACGATGAAAACGCTAAAGACCAATTCTACGATAGGCTGCAGTGGATCGTCGAGAAGTGCCCAACCAAGGACCTAACCATTCTGATGGGAGATATCAATGCCAAGGTTGGAATGGACAACAGTGGATACGAAGACGTCATGGGATGACATGGACTTGGAGAAAGGAACGAAAATGGTGAGAGATTTGCAAACCTATGTGCCTTCAATAAACTGGTCATAGGTGGCACCATATTTCCACACAAAAACATATACAAAGCCACTTGGATTTCACCGGATCACACTACACAGAATCAAATCGACCATATGTGCATCAACAAAAAGTTCAGGAGGACGATGGAGGATGTGAGAACCAGAAGAGGAGCTGATATAGCATCCGATCATCATTTGCTGGTCGCCAAGATGAAACTAAAACTCAAGAAGCACTGGACAACGGGGCGGACAACATCACAAAAGTTTAATACGGCCTTTCTTCGAGATGCTGACAAACTCAACAAATTCAACATAGCCCTCAGCAACAGGTTCCAGGCCTTTCATGATCTACTCAATGGAGAGGGAACTACCATGGAGAGCAACTGGAAAGGTATGAAGGAGGCAATCGTTTCAACATATCAGGAGGTTCTGGGCCAAAAGAAGCATCATCACAAGGAATGGATCACTGTTGGTACACTGGATAAAATTGAAGAAAGAAGGAACAAGAAGGCAGCAATCAATATCAGCCGAACAAGAGCGGAAAAAGCCAAGGCACAAGCCGAATACACAGAGGCAAACAAGCAAGTGAAGAAAAGCACCAGAACCGACAAACGTAAGTATGTGGAAGATTTAGCGAAGACAGCGGAAAAGGCTGCAAGAGAGGGAAACATGTGACAACTGTATGATACAACAAAGAAACTTGCTGGAAATTACCGTAAACCAGAAAGACCAGTGAAAAGCAAGGAAGGCAAAGTAATCACCGACATTGAAGAACAACGTAACAGGTGGGTAGAACACTTCAGAGAACTCTTAAATCGACCAGCCCCACTGAACCCACCCAACATCGAAGCAGCACCCACAGACCTCCCAATTGATGTTGGCCCACCTACAATTGAAGAGATCAGCATGGCCATTAGACAAGTCAAGAGCGGCAAAGCAGCGGGACCAGACAACATCCCGGCAGAGGCACTGAAAGCAAATGTAGCAGCAACTGCCAAGATTCTACACATCCTCTTCAGTAAGATTTGGGACGAAGAACAAGTACCAACAGACTGGAAAAAAGGACTTCTGATCAAAATACCAAAGAAAGGTGATCTTAGCAAGTGCGACAACTACAGGGGCATCACTCACCTCTCAATACCAGGGAAAGTCTTCAACAGAGTATTGTTAAACAAAATGAAGGATTCCGTGGACGCCCAACTTCGAGATCAACAAGCTGGATTTCGTAAGGATAGATCGTGCACAGATCAAATCGCAACTCTACGTATCATTGTGGAACAATCGATCGAATGGCATTCATCACTCTACATCAACTTCATCGACTACGAGAAGGCATTTGATAGCGTGGACAGGACGACACTATGTAGGCTTCTTCGACACTACGGCGTGCCTGAGAAAATAGTCAATATCATACGGAACTCCTATGATGGACTAAACTGCCAAATCGTCCACGGAGGACAACTCACCGACTCGTTTGAAGTAAAGACTGGTGTTAGGCAAGGTTGCTTACTCTCACCGTTTCTCTTTCTCCTGGTGATGGACTGGATCATGAAGACGTCAACGACTGGAGGAAAGCACGGAATACAGTGGACAGGCAGGATGCAGCTTGACGATCTAGACTTCGCGGATGATCTGGCTCTTCTATCACAAACGCAACAACAAATGCAGGAGAAAACGACCAGTGTAGCAGCAGCCTCAGCAGCAGTAGGTCTCAATATAAACAAAGAGAAAAGCAAGACTCTTCGATACAACACAATACGCACCAATCAAATTACACTTGACGGAGAAGCTTTGGAGGATGTGGAAACCTTTACATATCTGGGCAGCATCATTGATGAACACGGTGGATCAGATGCAGATGTGAGGGCGCGGATCGGCAAAGCAAGAGCAGCATACTTACAACTGAAAAACATCTGGAGCTCAAAACAATTGTCAACCAACACCAAGGTTAGAATTTTCAATACAAATGTCAATACAGTTCTACTGTATGGGGCGGAGACGTGGAGAACTACGAAAGCCATTATCCAGAAGATACAAGTGTTTATTAACAGTTGTCTACGCAAGATACTTCGGATCCGATGGCCAGACACTATCAGCAACAAGTTACTGTTGGAGACAACAAACCAGATTCCATTGGAGGAAGAAATCAGGAAGAAGCATTGGAAGTGGATAGGACACGCATTGAGGAAATCACCCGATTGCGTCACAAGACAAGCCCTCACATGGAATCCTGAAGGTCAAAGGAGAAGAGGAAGGCCAAAGAACACATTACGCCGAGAAATAGAGACAGACATGAGAAGAATGAACAAGAACTGGATAGAACTAGAAACGAAGGCCCAGGACAGAGTGGGTTGGAGAAAGCTGGTCGGTGGCCTATGCTCCATTGGGGGTAACAGGCAAAAGTAAGTAAGTAAGTAAGGTTATTTGACAAATTACAGTTAGCTGTATTCTTTCATAATGAAATACTTTAAAAGGATAAACGTCAATGAATATGTGCTTGACTCAAATCAGAAGAGAAAAATATTTTAACGGCTTGAAAGTTTATAGAAAAATGAATAAAAGCGATATCTAATGATATAGAATAATAATTTTGAAATATCGAACATTTGTAGTTGTAGCTGGGTGATCATAATGGAGATTCGTTTATTAATCAATAAGAAAAATCATGGGCAAATACAAGATCGAGATTCGGATTAAAAGGGGGGAAAAATCAGAATAAATATACAAACAATGACAAGTTAAAGATCAACAATAACCAATCAAAGTCGTTAGCATCATCTCCTAGTCATCTGTGGAGAAATTCGGGGACATCACTTCTACATGAAGTTTATGTTGATGGTGTTATCCAGAAGAGCAATGAGAGTTTCGTTATTAAATAATGTTGTTCCGAGAACGATGCTCCACCTAAAGCAAAAAAGTAACGATTATAAATCAGTTAAGAAGCAGAATATTGCATAAATATCCAACCGGATAATGACAATATAAGGATAAAACATTCCTTTCCATTTCTTATTTTGAAATGAAATCTTCAATTTGTTTTCAAATTTGATAAAATGGCAGAAAATGTTATCGTTGTGTATTTTATCTCAAATAAGATATATCCATCTAAAGTATCAAACAGAAGATTATCATATTGTCAGTTTCTTCATCATTACTTATCAAAAGTCATCGTTTTCTGACATTATCTAATGCGTTTTTATTTTGAGTATGATGATTGACAAATAATTAAAATGTCACGGATATCAAAAATGATAAAACAGCTTAATAAATTAATAAAACTCAATATTCTGGGAAAAAGGATGCAAAGTATGATGGAAAGATTCTCTGAATGTAATCTGAAAGCTATCTTTCTTCCCGTATGTATCTCCATGATCTGGAGGTTACAAATACCACTAAACATATCTACCACATAAAATAAAATCGAAAGAACGAGTTGTAAATAACTTTGATGACCTTGAATGATTTGAAATATTTTAAATTAGACTGAAGGTCAATTATTTTCGAAACTTTAAATCGGAATATAGTTTTGTGATCCCTTAACTGACTTCAGTTAGATCGTGTGAATGGTTGCTGAAATATACACATCGTCATTCCTCGTATAAAATTATCGAGTTAACTCGCGTTGATGAATAACGGAATTAAATAAGTCGAATACGAGAATGGATTTCGAATACGTGTATTTCGTACAATCACTGATCCAGGTAGACGATCAGTGGAATGAAGCGACGATACTCGGTGGAGAAGGCATGTGAGCCAACTTCATTTAATCAAGCGTTAATCAATATTTATAGTCACACAAAAATAAGTTACAGACATGTGATGAATAGGATAAAAAATGTACATACGCATACGCTCATATAAGTGAATAATTAACGAGGTCAAAACATGACTCAAGAAGAATGGATAAATTTGCCTGTCCAGAAACTGGAATAAGTTAAATGGGTTTGACTTAATAGCCCACACCACAATTGACTTTAGATATTTTGTTTTATATGTGTTCATTTAATAAACACTTTATGATATAACAGTACCAATTGTTTGAATTTTTTGAATAACGTTATCTAGGAGATGTTTTTATCGAAACTGAAGTTTAATTCACTCACGAAGTAGATTGGGCATGGTCGAAAAGTCATGTCATTGATTCTCGCTTATGTGTTACATGTTGTCGCGGATTTCTAACGTCGTTTTTTGTCGGCTAATCACAGTATTTTTCCGCCACATGTTAATTTTTGTAATATTTATGCGTTTTACATGGCATTTATTGCAGTCTATTGGTTGCCTGACGTATTTGGAGCTGACAACCTGGATAAATGTTTAGTCAGCCTAACTTGGTAATTTGTAACAACGCAAACTCAGGCAAGTGAAATTCATCGTTTATCAAGTCAAAAATACACCAAAATTACAGTTTCAAGCAAAAACAAGCTGTAGAATAATTTACATATGACTTACCTCCCTTATTATGGTAGTGACCCAAACAAACAATAAAGTGGAAATAAAAGCGAAAAAAGGGGGAAGAAAGCGGACGAAAGCGTAAATAAAGGGGAAATGTCGCTTTTTCGCCTGCACGTGAGGGACAGATTTGTAAGCACACAACATGATTTTTATCCTTCATTCCTATTACAGATGGCCATGTTGACGCGTTTAATGAATGATGATCCTAAAACCTCCATGCGATATCTTCTGTCCTACATCATGGAACCTGAAGTCTCCATTAATTTCACGTTACTTGGTACTTCATCAAAACGAGCGATTCAGAAGTGCCGGTTTTATGGCTGCGTACGAAGTAAGATAAATAAGGTTTTTAAACTTCAGGTGCACTTACTAATCGATCCCTGTCGTCATCTGTCACTGAGAAAGACCTTGCGAAACTATATGACATGGCTACACAAAGTTATTTTCACGACATGAGAGACAAAGTACAGAAGCGTCATCGACGGAAGAAAGAACACGTACGTACGACTTTAAAGTGATTTTGTTTTCCCGTTATCTATAGGTAGAGTCTTCCGTGTTTAAGGATATAACCGTAAGTTCAGCTTCAAGTACCTTGTTGTGCAAAACAAATTTCCTAGATATAGTAACGTTCTTCTTCATCACATTTTAGAATTCACAAGAATTATTTGAGTCTCCATAGTTCAAAAGGCCTGATGGAAAGAAACAAACGTGAAATATCTGGTCCGTGACAATTGCAATTACATCAGGAACATTGATGCTCTACCATCTGCCAAGTGCTCATGACGTTGTACAATAATAAGCTTTTTGTTTTCAATAAAAATTTGGAACTTATACCATATATTACGTACATTACATTATTCGTGTGCTATGTTGTGGGAATGAAGGTGAACACAGGAGGCGGTTGGGGTAAATACAGAAGCGTTTTAAAAGTGGGCGCTTAATTACATCGGTGTGCATGTAGTAGAAAAGTAGACAATTCGTCGGATATTTAGGGTGCAAATCGGAAATTCGTCGAATATTTAAGGTAAAAGTCGGCAATTTAGCGACATTTGAAAAACAGAGCGACAGAAAGGGGAAATTTCGCTTTATTTCCCCTTTATTGGTTGTATGGGGATGAACGTGGGTGTTAGTAGTTGTTTATAAATTGTAATTGAGAGTCAAACTATTCATGAATCTTGTAATGGTAATAATAATCATTCCATGCGACGTTCTTAATGGAAGTTTGTTTTTCTATAGCAGGGCAAGAAAGAGTAAATGCACTGGAAATAGAGGAAGAAGCCCTACGCGATCTGAACGAGCAGAACAATGAATAAAACTATTCTGTAGAAAGTTTCCCCTTTTGCACTCAACCGTGTCTTTCAATTTTAAAAATATATATGTTGTACCAGTACATTGTGTTCTTACTTTGACGGCACTTACCGGTCCTCACTGTAGTGTTGTTGTTTCAGATCGCTCCTGCTTCAAAGTGGACGTCAATATATAACGTGCTACATTACGATATGAACTATTAATATACAGCCGTAAACAGTTTAATCCATGATAAGTATCATCGTTGTTAACTGGACTGATATGTTATTACGTAATGTGAGAAAAAATATGTTAGTAACAATTGGCGTTGATAGATTTTTCTGTTCGCTTTCTGAATTTATACAGAAATTGTGTAGAACATTACTGTAAGTGCCACATAAATTAGCCAAATACTCTTCTTAAGTAAAGCGATGCGTGTTTGTTATGAGCATGGTAACTAAAACATGTTGTAGAAAATACTATTTTACGATGTCTCGTATAGGGTTAAAATATAAATTTCTGCTAACAGAATCCGAAATCACTGACTAAATCATAAACAAAGTGTTAATGCATGTTGACGGGTAATCGCTAAATAGTGGTTACCAGTTATTTCATTATTGTATGTAAACAGTATTATGAACGGTGTAATTGGATTTTTCTCAAATTTCATATAACTAATTAAAGTTTGTGAGTCCCTTCGTTTGTTTGTTAATACCGAATAACTAGATGAAATTGTAGGAAGGTTAGAAAATGAAGAGCACTGTTTACAGCAAGTAAAACACTTACAGGTACATCCTATCAATTGCTATTTCATTTACTTATGGAATTTGATACTGATAACGAAGTTTAATCTTTTCTTTCACGATTGATTTGTTGTTTTTCAGAATTGCATTGAGCAAGCTATCCATACATTTTGTTATACAATTTATGACTTCTGTCAACTAATTGAAAGGCTCAAATCTTTGTAATAATCAAGTCTATGCAGATGAACAACTTGGCGAATTTCTTAATATGGAAGTTTATGCGGAGAAACAATTCACACATTGACGATAACTGTGTTTTGTATTGACCACTACCGCGTCTATTCATCTAATACGTTATCTAAATATAATATAAATATAACAACTGTAGTTTTTTGCACTTTAAATCTTTTCAGTATGTGTATAGTCTAGTTAGGTACTAATACTACTTTCATAATAGACGTTGTCCGATAACGGTAAATTTATCGTTTGATTGCCTAGTCTGTAAGATCTTAAGTGAAAATCGCATCACTATCTACACTGACCCATCGTATCGCGACAAATAACAATACACATTTATGCTTGGGATAGAATAATATATTTAATGTGAATATAAATAAGTTAAACATAATGAGCGCGTCTGCAACACTGACTCATGCCATTCGATTGAATGAATATCTCCACGTTCACCACTTCCGACCTTCTCCAAGTGTTACATCCTTTTAGTTATTATATGCTTGATTCCGGAGACCATGTGATTAGGAAACAATGCCACTCCAATTATTCATCCGAACATACTGATCGTAAATAGGACTGCAGGAAGAGAAATGTTTGAGAAATGGCAGTCTTACCTAATTATTGATTTTTAAGTGATAATTGTCTACTTTTTTTTCCACCACCATGGCGAAGTGTTCACCATGTTTTTCAACTATCTGTTGTTTATGAAATTTCTGGCTTCTTTGGATTCGTATATACTCTTCACTCCGTCTGGGTAATTATGTTGCATTATAATGGAAGTTATGCGTGCCATTTAACTTCCATCGGCTGCATGGTCTAAGTATGTGATGAGCTAATTAGTTTATTTCGTAGTTGATTAAGCTTACCTGTAAGAGTTGGTCTTTTTACATATGTCAGTATTATATGACGTCAGGGATATCGACAAGACATAAATGTTCGACAATTACACTCGCAAGTGCCTGCATCTAGTTCATAACACCACAAAACTGTATTTAAATCGCACGTCCTTTAGCAGTTTACTTTCGCCGTGAATGTTATGTGTACGGGTGGTCTGAAAAGGGATGGAATTATGCATCCATACTTTTTGGAACTCCTTAAACACACCATAGAATTCAATCCAGTTTCCAAAACGCCTGCTCAGTATTATGCGTTGAAACGCCTCACTTAAGTCGACCGAAATGTCTCTGGAACATAAATTACCACAAACATTACTCGTTAATTACTGAAAAAACAGCCATTTCATGCGATAATACTCCAGTAACTGAAGAAAGGACTACAAGCATTTAGGAATTACGGGTTACTCGTCATGTCGTCTTAATTCTTGCAGAAAACAAGGATTCACACAAATTCATAGTATCTTTAACTGATAATTTATAATGAATACGCAGTTTTGCGGACCCCAACGAATTTTAAACAAGGAGAGTGAGGTTCAGTAGGGTAATTGGTATCCCAGGTCAAGTTACGTAGCAACAAACGAGTCAAATTGTACACTACAAAACACAGTAAGCACAATAAACGCTTTTGGCATTGATTTTGTGAATTTGCTACAGCCAAAAATGATGCAAATACAAGAAAACCAGATATTCGTGCAACCCAGAGGACAACCAACCGACCCACAACAAATCAAATACGGAATGACCGCCTCGTGTCAGGCCGTTCAAGGTCGCAAAAAGGAAACGGCGGGCAGGTTTGAAAACGCACTGACTTATTTACCTTGCCAGTAGATTGTTTGGTTTGTTTTTATTGAGATCATATCAGAATATGATTGTCAATTGACATACTTTATGAAATAGGGCTACATGGTCTGTTCATGAGACTGTATATTATAATTTTATGTACATAGTAATTTCAAAGAACATTCGAAGATTATTTGTATCTAGTCTATTTGGAATTTTCTGAATCTGTCAGAATTTGAGCAATGATATATCAGTCAAGTGAGCCTAGAAAACTAATCTCTAATCAAAGATAAAATTGTGGAGTAACCCTTAGTATGTATAACCGAAAATCGACAAAACCAAGTGAGAAAAAATAAACCGTTTTGTGGATCAGTGTTAATTCTTTTATTAATAATAAGCTATAACTTAGAAATAAGACTATCAGACTGTCAGAATGCGTTTGCAGTGTGCAGACTAGAAATTTATTGAAATTTCAAGTTTCTTGAAGAAAATCTATTTGTGGCTTATAAATTGAAAATGTCGTTATTGTAAGTACAGCTGACTTTCTTGAATGGACTCCTGATAAAATTCTAAACTCAAATACACATAATTACCTAATGTATACTTTATCATGTAAAGTCATATAGTGTTGTACACTGGTACAAGTATCTGAAAAATAAAAATGAAATTTAGTCTCGGACATATGCTGAAACTTCTAGTAATCACTGCTAGTCACCTGAAATGCTATCAAAATAATGAATTTATAGAGATAAAAATATTTCAATAAATTGTTTCAAAACAATAGAGAATGTTATTCACATTTTTTAAATACGGAAAGTATCGTTTCTCGATTTCTGTTTTTCTGAACATATATTTATGTCAGAAGGGGTTTTCATGGATATTATAGTAATTTTAATAGTCGAGATCATGAGTCGATCGAAGCTAGACCACCATGGAAAACTCACTGAAGACAGTGGTGGATATGTCGCTCAATTTTGTGGGTCAGTTGAAGCTAGACAATATCACCGTTGGATGCCAGCCAGCTCAGTGGTCTGGAGATTAGGCGCTCGCGCGCGAAAGCGATAGGTCCTGGCTTTGAATCTCGCGAGACAGGATCGTAGATGCGCACTACTGGGGAGTCCAACAATAGGACGAAACGGTCGTCCAATGCTTCCAGGTTTTCCATGGTGGTCTGATGATGTCAACTATTAAAATATATTTATGTATATGGAATTCGAATAAACGATAGGAATGGTCACTTTTTTTCTTCATAACTCATCAAAACTTATAGAACTTTCTAACATGATTAATTAGATACAAAAGTAATAACTTTACCCTTTATCTTGGCGTCATTTTAAATATTCATGGGGAAAGAAAAGAAATAAATCATTACATTATAAATCTATAGACAAATCCTTCTAAATTAATTAATTTTACTGTAATCAAAACATAAAATTACTATTTTCACATGACTGAATAAATATGACTTTATGTAATGATGCTTTCTATTGACTGAATAGATTTATTGTGATAAATAGGCAAATTTATTTACTTTAATTTACGGGTTAGTTACTGAACTTTATTATATTATACACAAATCAACAAAGCAGTTAATGTTCAAAACTAGATCATTCAATTTAAAACTTAGCTCATAAAAAATTATTGAACTGAGTAACATAAAAACACTGAAGGGTAATATAAGTTTGTTTTTTTATCCTAGAGGTATGAAATTTGAAGTATGATTTAACTTTAACAATATATATTAATGAGAGTTGGTAAACTTTATTTGGATGCTTGATTACAGAGTTTGAATAGCAAAAATCACTCAATTTTATTATTGTTAAGGTTTCATTTTGATGCTCTATTTAAGTTTAATCCTATGAAAGGAAATTGTTTATAAGCAAAGATAGATAGTGGCTAGCAATGGAATCCAGGACGCGCGTTTCGACCTCTTTGCGTGTGACTTCAAGCAATATCAAGGCATTCCACACAGGATGCACATATGCCAACAAGAGACTGATCAATTGCAGTACTAAATAACAGTGAGAAGATATAAGTAAACAACACGAAGTGATAGAAATTGGTCAAATTAATTGTTTTTTAGCACCATTTTTCAGTTTTAAATATGGAGGCAGTGATATGCTCTTAGTATATGAATAAGCTAAAAATTTATTCTGAACATGTAATTATCACTCGAACATATGATAAATCTGTTGGCATTCAGCTGATATTAAGGCAACGTAAACGACCCTCACAATTGAAGCGATTATCAGTCACATTTGATAAATTGATGTATCATAATGAGAAGATAAAATCAAAATGGGACATGTATCCCTATAATGTCTTTTGAATAGCCTCACAGAACATTTGATTTGGCATGAAGTGTATATTTTAACTACAAAATGTCGATTAGATCTGTAAGAAAAATAAATAATTAAAGAAAGAATATCGTGTGAAGAGCAGCTCTTATAATTAAATGTAAAGTTTGAATTATTAAGGTAGGCTTATTGTTAGCTGAAATTTGTTATTATTGTTATACACCAGAATATTTGATACTTTTCACTAATTCCACAAGTGTAGCTATTTCGTAACGAAAGCAGGTAATATATAGAACACTTTTTTCATAGATCAGTTTAATAACTTATATAAAAGCACTTTGAAATTATATTGAAATTAATCATATCCTAAATGAATGGTCGTACATGATATTAGCTGTAGTGACTAGCATTCATAGTTATCTAACGATGAATCCTGGAGTTACCAAGGTTTCAACGCGTCTAAGAATTTCTATTAAATTTATGTAATTAACTATATTAATAACATTCAGCGATTAATGTATCATCTATATTAGACTACCAGGATCCATTATTGTCATCTTTATTAAGACATTTAAGAAAACTAAATCCCTTAATTATAAAATGTTCTCATGAAGGCAAATAATAATCAATAATAGGTTGTTTATTGATTTATTCATGAAAATAATGTTCATCTAAACTCTCAACCTTTATATTACTTATTCATTTAATTCATTTTACCATAGTATACCTTTCAATAATATAATGAAAATTCCCATTTTAACATTTGATAAATAAAAAAGGAACGAATCGAGCGAAGAAATTTCTTTTCCATTAGTTTTTCATCATGGCTCTACACTATGATTTATAATAATGAAATAATACTCTTCGAGTAGATACGTTACGTAATAATTATCTAATGACATATCAATTAAAGAAACTAACACTAATTAATTGAAAGAAAAAGGATTAATACTAATCAAAGTAATCATTCGAAAATCAAGCTGTTGCTACGTTGCTTAATCTATAAAAAGGAGAAGAAAGAACTAACAAAATATTTTGATGAATGTTCAGTAATATAGTAGTTATGTAAGAATCAAGAGACGAATGTAGGGAATAAGTAAAATACAAAAATGGAAGGAATAAGATGATTGTTTACCAAAGTTCTGCTACAAACTCCACTATACCGATGGCCAAGGTAGCGAGAGTGATTGTACAAACTTCTTTTGGATGCAAAGGTTCGGTTTGTGAATATGGATTGCGATGGCTTCAGTTATGTGCAAAAGACGAGCTCGTAAACCATGCAGCAAATTTGATGGAATATGGTAGATAACCTCAAAAGCTTTATTCAGTTCAACTTGATGACCTATGTCCACCAAGTGAGCGAGAATAGAACTCCTAATCATCTTTACCTGTCCTTTGTTCAACAACGCCGGATGGTGTTATGTTATTCGTTGACAAACTTGCTAAATTGTACGCGCTATATAACTGGTTCCACAGGAGCAGTTAAATTGGTAAATACACAATAATAGCATTACTGATTATTCTCTTGTTAAAGTGACAAACAACTTGATAGCGAAACAAAATAGTTAACTCATCAATATAAATTAAATGTATTTCTATTAGAACATGAATAAATTTCTGAATTCTTATCTATTCTGTATGTAACTTGTTATGTATTACCGGTATTTAGTATGCTTTCATAAAATTTGGAAGGCTCTCCAGGTCTCCCACATTTTACGAGCATCCCAAGTACCTAGATAAATGGTTTCTCTGGTTATCAGAAGGGGTATCGCCCTTGTGACTTTCGAAAGAACTCGGCTTTCACTATGGGGCGTCATAACTCTTCTAAATGATGACCTTCTAACTGCTAGGGCAGAGTTTAAATAGTTTGAATAATTTTTTATGGTCCGCGTTTTTTAGAGATTTGGTTTTCTAAGGAATGGCTACGCTAACCCCATACCTAACCTTCCTCCTTTATCCGGGCTTGGGATCGGCGGTCGCCCTATGAGAGGATACAGGCGGAGTTATTTTAGTTAGTTAACTAATTCTAAATTAAAGTATTACATATTTGCTCAGTATTTTCGATATTATATGCATAGTTGATTTTGTTTGTTTATTTTAATAAATAGACATTGAAACAACTGTTACACAAGAAACACTTAAAATATACTGATTATCCAATTATATATATAATCCATGTATATATAAATTCAGTAAGTTGATATATGGACATTTTTCACATTATCACAATGAAACAATACTAGACAGATAAAAGTTGATGAATTCATTATTGAGTATATTATATTTCTTATTTATTTGCATGTAATTAATATACAATTTAATGGATTAAAGTTGCTTTGTTGGTGTTGTAGTGAACGAGAACACCAGTGGGGATAATGGAATGTATTTAAATACAAAATTACAGAACATCTTAGTAAAATCTGAGAACCATACAGTAAATCATTTATTTGTAAAATGTCAATCAATTGTCTCAGACTTTATTTTTCTTACGTTTCCACTTCGAGCATTCTCTGTTCTCCTTTTCTTTTCTCTGATCTTCTTAACCTTCTGCTGCCAGGCATTTCATTTTCGATTCATGGTGCATGCTATTTACATCTGTTGACACCAGTAAGACACACCACAAGGTTAGTTAGTCTCGTTAGAATATTTACTGTTGATCTATGAGTTATACATTGTTCTCATGCTTGTTCTACTGATACATAATAGATAAAATCGAAAAAGTAATTACATGTAGGGATATTATGAAATAGGACACCGTCTAGACAGAAGAGATGTATTAATTACTGGGCAGTTAAATTTAAGATATATATATATATATATATATATATATATATATATATATATATATGAATTAGAACTTATAAAATTCAGCTTAAAGCATTCTCCGGTTGGATCAGTTTGTTACATTCATGTTAGCTTCAGTACAGATAAAAGGATTAATTTTCATTTCATTCAAGCAAATTTTAATTTTTGAGTAAGATCTTTGACTCGTTTGTTGACAATACAGTATACACGACCGACTTTTTTTATCAGATCCCATTGTGACCCCGTCTCAATCCGGTTGAATATTGATGTATTTTGAAATCGATTTGGATTTAAAGATCCGTAGATGTTTACTTGATGGTTTTCAGTAGGATTCAATGTAAATTCCTATAGCCAGATTATTTAAATCTTGTCTGTCTGTTTATTTTTCTCAAATTAAAAAAATTTAAAGAAAAATGAAATTAACTAATCTTTTGTATTATACATAATAAATGACCAACAGTACTACTAATTTGGCAGACAGTATTACGAGGAACCATACTATAACAATATGACTTGCGCATGTTATTATCAGACATAATTGTCGAAAACATACAGCACATTTTATTAGTTTATTTCAAGTTTGGAACAACACCGGGATCATGTACGGAACTGAAAACGATAGAATACTAGTCTTCTGAAACATTAAGTAATATCCATTTGTACTAAGTTACTCGTAATAATAGAATAATGTGGTATTTATACTAATTGGTTATTCTTTCCTATTTCCGCAGCTAATTTGACCTTCAAATATAAATAAATTCGAGTCCTGTTTGTTTGAAATTCGACTATCCTGGTAGTTCTTAGTTAAAAAATCAATTTGAATACTTCTAATTAACACAAATTAGCAATCAAGTGGATGGTGGAAGGCTGTTCATTCTTCTAAATAGATGCTTTTATAAAAAATAACTACACGACCGTAAGGTACTTTAGATGGATGTTTTTAATCAATGAAAGATTTGTCAGATCCTCATTTGAGGAGTATAAATGTCCGTTCTCAATGTAATTTCATATGGCTAGAAACCTAAAAGATCTTCTTGAAAGGGAGTGTTTGTTAGCATCAGATAACAGACTATTCCTGGACACTTAAGAAATGAAAATGGACGTACAGTAATCAAACAGAGTTCAATGGATTTTAAGTATATACCCATCATAATATCATGGGGGAAGTTATTCAACGCCTTACCTCTGTTGAAAATTCACTAATATATAAACGTTTTTATTTTCCTAATGTTTTCTTTTTCAGTAAACCCATCCCCTCGTTGAAAGACGGATATCTCGCCTAAGACATAAGTGATGCATGTTGACAAAAGCCAATCTAAACTTGTGAGTCCACGCCGAGGTTTCATTAGGACTGATGAAACCCTAAGATAGTTGAGGCGATCGATCCGTTCAACTTCTTAATTCCCTATCATTAGTTCAGACAACGTTGCAACCCAATCTTGAAGCAACATTTTGAATTTGAAGGGAGAGAATAATACCAATAAAAAAGTGCTTGCATCTTTCCATTGTTCTCACTATTCGTGCAATAATCGGATATCGCCTTCATTTTTATATTAGTCATTGATAACATTCTAGAAACAACCCTGTAGAAAATGGATTTAAGAGGCAAGCATCTGGTTTTTGGAGCCTATGGTCACTAAGTTTGCTATCAGCTACCGTTACATGGTCTTAAGTTTTCCACCATTGAAGTGTAAGATGATGTTGTGACACGTCGTTGCATTTACTGGAAGCATTTCATGAAATCTTGTATGTAATGTATTCAATATCTACAATGAATACAAGTACCCTGTAAATTTGTGACACAGGATGTCTGATATGTAACAATATTCGGGTGCATTCCATCTTCAGTTATCGTTGCATCAGAAAAATGTCTTACATTCAATGATACTGGCTTTTCTCGTTAAAACCAAAGTCGACGCCCTATTATCTTTATAGAGTATATCAATACAGTAATTGTATACCCCTCCCCTTAAATTTGAAATTCATCAAAGTTTTATAAACTTCTGACAGTAACCTTATAAATTACGTTCTGTAAGGGTCAAAGTATTTTTTCACCAAAATTTATAGAAGGTTCACATCATAAAACAATATATAATACTGATCTGGTAATATGAATCTCATTTACTGAAATTTATGAAATGTTAAGGTCCTCAATTAATTTGTATGTTTTAAATATTTGTTCTTAACTACTGTAATTGTTATCTTTTTTAACTTGAGTAAGCACACTTTACTAGATACTTGTTGGCCAATCAACAATATCTATCTATTTATTGATTTCTTTCAATTATCAATGGATGACGTATTGTTCTAGTTATACTACATATATACACTCTGATTAATATCCATATTAAGAACAAATGAAATCTTGCTACATCACTGATTGGTTATTTCGTAACAAACTATTATTGTTGTATTATTATACTTGATGCCAAAAACGTAACCTTGAGAATAAAGGTATAACCTTGGACATTTACTAGTAGTTAATATTGTGGGGAAAACTATTCTAATCTGAGAAATAATAACAAACTTAACTATAATCATAACCATATATCGTTTTTAACAGTACAAATATTGGTTAACTGTGTTCATTGTTATCATGAGATAAAGATATGGTAACTCGTGTGATTTCAAAATAATCTAGCTATCTACCCACGTGTTATTGAGTATAAAGAAACACAACAGTAAAGTTTATTTCAATTTATCACATGAATATCTAAACATTAAATTAGAATAAAACAACCAAGTAGTCTGTAATCATTGAAAAAGGGATAAATAGTGAAATTTGGTCTACATGTGAACTATATTAAATTCTTCGTAATGAACATCAAGTGTCCAAGTGAAAAATGTTTGTTTTCATATAATTTTTTTTTACATAATCACTCATCTTATTTCTAAAATTATCGAAGAATACATAAATGTATGGCTGTTGAATTAATCAACCTTTTTGATTTATAAAGACACATATTATTAGAATCTATCTAATAAACAAATTTGGTCTTTAAAGGATTTCATTGGAAACAGTAATAAAAACATAACATAATAACTAAACATTATTTCATTCGAGGAACTATTTCGTTTGATAAACATTTTCGTGAAAATAAACAAGAAATTACATCTATTTCGGTTGGAATTTGGAAACTGAGATCCCCATTCAGAAGTATCCGTCTACGGGTAAGTTTCACTTATTTGATCGTGCATAGTGAACAGTATTTTATCTTTTTTCAATTTAATACTTACTATATACTATGTTTGATTTGATGAAATATTTCCCAGTGTTCAGTTATGCTCATTAATTATGATAAATATTATAATTATGTTTAAACATAAACTCACAATTATGAGAACGTATCCCAGTTTGGTTCTAAAAGGGTGAAAAGAAAAAAGTTAGGAGTTCTATACTTAAACACTTAATCGAGTGTAATCATTATACGGATCCACAGTCTAATTTTAAGGTTGTTTATATGATTCATTCAAATCTACCTAGATTTCTTCGTATCAAACTCCTAAAAATAGCCGAAGCTCTTACCATCAATGAGCTCAAACCAGAACTATGCGTACAAAAAAGTACGTCTTTTCATTATCGTTACCATGGTCTCAATAATATTATTATTATCATTCTATTATTATTATTACTCCATCTCGCCTTTACTTATGTCTCATATTCTCATTATTTTAATCATGGATACTCATCATATCACCTTGTTTATTTTTACACCTCTATGACCTTTAATTATTGTAACCAAAACATTTTATTCATTTTAATCATCGTATTATATTCACTAAATCTATTGTTATAGCTCGTGTTACGTAATCCAGTATTATAATCTTTCTATTACGTCATCTTGGTTATTAGTGTTCATATTTCCTCACGGAATTAGTACTTTGACAAAACATTTTCATATATATACGATTGTGCAACTGGATAAAAAATTCGTTGAAAAGAGATCCCTTCGCTGAACTTCATGTCTTAATTATGTCTTTGTTGTATAAGTTAATTATTGATGTACTTCATATTACTTATGTGTTTGTAAATAAAAGTGAATAGTGAACAGTCGGACGTCTAAATAATTCAATGTTCAACATACTGTACTACCTAATATTTAGTGAATCTCAGTATAACGAACAATAATTTCTATTATCGTACTTTTTCCTCTTTTTTGTTTTAATCATATTAACTAATAAGTTGTAACCTACTAATATAATTAATTAAGTTGATTCAGTCGGAAATAAATCTATTAGTTCTTCAGCTTCAAAAGAATTATCGGTTATCAACGTTATTCGAAAATCACAGATTTACAAACAGTTTTTCATATAAAAATTTATTACTATCTTATTGCTTTCAACATTCACTTTATAATAGGTAAAACAGAGTTTTCATAATGAGTTGGAATTTTTACATTGTGATGTCTGTCTCTTGTAATTCAGATTAAAACATCAACTTGTTACAATCAAATTTACATTGGTTGTTAAAATTTTCAAATACTGAAATATGCTATGCTCATTGTTTATTGATTAGAAATAATAATCATTGTCATTTACAATTAGTTAACTTTTTGTAATAAAAAAAACACATTCACGAATAGATCCATATTAATCATTTTACGATTCGTAAAAAAACAGTTTTCTCTGATATGTGTCAATCTACTTCTCTGTAACAAGTTTATCATTACGAGAGTTTTTAAATTTAGTGTAGAAATTTCGCAGTGGACACAAAAATCCTTTGAGAATATATATATTGATTCAATGACTAACCAGAAATGTATGTCAAACACTTCAGCTGTAACAGAAGCCCATTACAAAATATCCATATTTGAAATGTAGTCTTTATCTATTCAACTTACAATCATACGGTTTATGTAAATAGAGAATTATTACAATCTATCATGTATTCAATTATTGGAGAATTTACAAATCTATTGAACATTTCAAATGATTGATACTTTGATATTTTTTTGTGACACAAATCTCAAACGAAAAGGTTGTTTACTTGTATGATGAGAATAGCAACTACTCTATTAGTCTAATGACCAAAATAGCTTAGAAACACAAATAAGATTGAACATATTTGAAAATTAAAGTTTTTGATAAGGAGGTTTATTTTGAACTATTTTTATCGTATAAAGAAGGTTTACTGCCAACTGAAAATGCCCAAAAATCTAGTTACCATCATATTTCACTAGAAGGTTTGATTTTTAAAAAATATTTTTGTGATGAACCATTCAAGTAATTGAAAGTAATTTTATGATAGATAAGAGATATCATAACAATATCCTCATAATTCAATTCTCTATCCTATCTCTATTAAGATCTAAGGCTATTAAAATAATTTTAATCATTATCATTTAAGATTTATAAATATTACTGTTAAAATATATTACTGATGTAGTCACTAAAGCTAATTATATATACTCCTATGAATATGTGTTTATTCAAGTAATTATAGCAATGTAAATACTTTGACATTTTAATGAACGTGATACTTGTTTCCATGTAAGTGATTAGATGTTTTAATGTTATCCCGATAGTCAGAAGGAGGTTTTGTGGAGATTTTAGTAATTTTATATAGTTGGAAGCATAATTCAATTGAAGCTAGACCAACATGGAAAACCTGGAAGCACTGGATGACTGTTTCCCCTACTGTTGGACTCCTCAGCTAGGCGGGATCATGGATGCGCAATGCTGAAGAGTCCCACAATAGCCATTCAGTGCTTCCAGATTTTCCATGATGGTCTAGCTTCAACTGACTCATGATTTCAGCTATAGATTATTACAATAGTGTTCAAATATGTACAACTTATTTATCTTATGACTCTTTCTTGCTATAATTGTTAATAAGTTTAAAGATCCCCATAGAATATTCAAAAATGAACAATATTTGAGCGAACAATTGTTTTCAATAACTTCATTATCAAGCTCTACAGTTATAAGTCCATAATTATGATAATATTTTACAAAGGCCAAAATGAGTCATATATTAATTAATTAACACAATTTTGAAGTATATATATGACGTAACCGATGCAAACGTTCACCATTTTTTAACATATAACATTGTCAAATTAATTAATGTCTCATTTTGGCCTTTGTTAAATATCACAATAATTATGGAGCTTGATAATGAAGTTATTGAAAACAATTGTTCGCTCAAATATTGTTCATTTTTGAATTGTTAATAGGTTTAAAATAAATTCTGAACGTTATTATGTAATTGTTACTGTTAGGATCAATTTTGAATAAATATGGTAATATTTCCTTGAAAAAGCTTGAACCAGATTGCCAGGCGAAACGTTGGATTTACTTCAAATTCATTTGCTGAGATTTTACAAATATATATTAATCCTATTTAATGTCTTACATCAACTTGGCGCTCAAATACTGTGAAACTATTCGCTTTAATTTAGACGAAAGTTCTTATATAAATATGATAATATTGTTTAAACTTTATACTCAGTTTAAATTAAATATTCGTTTTTCACTATTCTGTGGTTGTATGCACATCCATTTCATAAGAATGTAAGATTATCATCCAAAAGATTGAAACTTTTTTTTGTTGAAAAAACCCTATTTATTAATTCAATAAACTTTAACTAAATAATTTATTAAATTTTATCGATTTTTCATTGAAATTATCAAATGTAATCGTATAACTGTAAAGTGTCCTTTGATATTTTAATGTAACATGATTATATATATTTATTATAATTTGAAACAAAGACCATTACAAAAACAATACTATTTGTTTAATGAATACATGTTTTGTATGAATATAAACATAAATATATATTAAAATGATTTAAATTATTGTATACTATTCCTTTGATCCATTGTACACATATCAAATCCATAAAACTAACCCAGTTTTCAAGTCATTCCATCTGGTTATCTTCATTATTATTCAATAAATTCAGAATCTTGTAGTGCAATATTTGGCTAATCTTTCACCTTGATAACCGTTATTAATACAAATCTGAACAGTGCATGAAATCAGAAGGTAAAGAGAAGCTGTAACTACAGTTTGTTATCAAATAACGCAAGCCATAAAGCTACAAGTACATGAATAAGTATTAGCGAACAATTACATAGGCAAACTTACAGTCAAATTGTATAAGGGAACAGCGAGACAAAGCAAAAGCTAATAATAGGATTTGAGTGCATACATATATGGGGAGGAGGATGAGTCATGAAATGATATTTAAGCAATCAACGTTTTGGCTAGGGTCTATCATGTGCTCTAGTGATCATAACAGTACAAAGGTATATGCAAATTGTTACTACCCGAATGACAATGTCTGTTAAGTAAGTTAATAAAAGGGCTTAACCAAGATTAACGATAATAGAAATTGGGTGTAGGGTAGGTGCTATAATCTATATGTATGAAATATGAATAGTTATTTAAGGATAAACTTGTTATTTTTTATTATTTAATCAACTTTAATATTCTGCTAACCCTTTTAGTTTTTAATTTCCGGTTATTTTTTTAAAACTATCTATAAATTTCAATATTCACTCTACAGATTTTATGATAAAGATTATTTTATAGTGATCGACTTTTTTTCAAACAACGGATTAATTAACAAATGAAGGTTTAAACTAAATACTTGACTATATCTGTATATGATGGTTTTTCAAAGTGAATTCAATTGGTGAATAACTAATAACTAGGACGCACTAGAAAGATGTTTCATTCTGAGATTGAACTTATTAATTGTATCAGTCGAAGATTGTAGTAAGGACTGAACCCAGGAAATTTAGGTCGGTTCCTCGACTAATATTTCACATTTTTAACTTTAATTATCTAGTAATATATCTTTTACTTCTAATATGTTTAGACTCGATTGTAATGTGAACTAGTAATCATGACAATTAGGATAAAGTATTTTGAGTATATTTGTCTATTTGTGATACCTATTGCTCGTTGTCAAACTTCCTATTGTAGGATATTTTATTTGTCTTGAAAAGATATCATTGAAATAAACTAACAACTGGAAACTTTATGATAACAACAATTTAAGAGTAACTATAAACATCTGTTTATATGTAAAAAAAAACTGATGCCTACATTTAATGTTATAATCATTAAATAATACTTAATCAATGAGATCATGTTAACTAACCTGAAGGATATGAACTAATCAGACTTTATGATAACCTTTAAGGAAACTAAAAAACAG